ACGGACCGATCTGAAAGCGTACTTCAATGCTAGTTGGTCGCCACTCGATGTAAAACAAAAGGATGAGGTGTGAGGCGCTGTCAAGGTTTTGGTATGCAAAATTTCCGTGTTTAGTCGAATGCAAAATTTTGCGAGGAATTCGATGATGTCATTGGTTTTGTTTAGAGATTGCTCAATGAAAAAGCTTTTCTGTATAGTTGAAGCCGTAATGGCTGACGATTGTCACATCATTGGCATTTTGTAAATCCGGTCAAATACTTTCTCCACGGATAGGGTTGAATACGTGATCAGAATTTCCATCACTACCTTTTACCAAAATTGATTGTCCAAATTACCTGCGCTTGACACATTAGAGTCCTAGCGAAAGAGCTCTACTCCACATCAATAATACCTCAAATATACAGTGATTTAATTTTTCAAATTGTCACAATCACCATCCATATAGTGACCTCAATTTTAAGAAAAAATTGGAGCTAGGAATAATTTTGGACAAAACCAATGGCTACATCATCTTTGTGGCTAAAGTTGAATTTGAAAAGTTGTTTTTGAACGATAATGCCAGGACCTCTCAGGAGCTCAATTTGGTCGGCGAATTCTTTTGATTTTGCAAAGAATAGAACAGTTGCGCTGGTCACAGAATCGTGTTTTGATGTTTTGATTCTTGTAGATTAGCTAAAAATAATAAGATCTGTCCAAACAGAAACTTTTTACGGTCAATGTTGACTGAGATATCGCGCCTCAAAAAATTCGGTGTATGACGTCATTCACCGCGGTAGTGACACTCTTGATTTCTTCCACCTTGCTTTCGTTTGTCAGGGAGACGCACTTTTTCACATATTTCTGCGCACTTATGGCTTTTTTCATGTCTCGATCTCATAAAAATGAGACGACTTTTGCTGTTTTAGCTATTTCATCTAAAAGAGATTCTTGTAGATTAGCTAAAAATAATAAGATCCGTCCAGACAGAAACTTTTTACGTTCACTGTCAACTAATTGTAAGATGTCGCGCTTCAAAAAATTCGGTGTATGACGTCATTCACCGCGGTAGTGACACCCTTGATTTCTTCCACTTGCTCTCATTTGTCAGGAAGACACACTTTTGTTCACCTATTTTTGCGCACTTACGGCTTTTTTATGTCTCGTTTTCATAAAAATGAGACGACTTTTCCTGTTTTAGCTATTTCATCTAAAAGAGACCAGACGGATTTCGAAGGAAACTCGATTTCGAAAATGTGTGACTTACGGCTCTCTTTGCTCTCGCGGCAGCATCGCTATACATCTTTTACGGGCCGACGACCTTGACCTACGAGCCGTTGCGTCGCGGTCCGAGGCCTATCCCAATTCGGAGCATCACGAGGCACACTTCAAAATTATTTTTAATATTTGGGACGAAATATAGTTGGGGCCGTTTTCCTCTCGTAAATATCGGTTTGCAGGCGGGACGATTACCATAATTTTAGGGATTCAATGCCAGCGAGTAACTGAGCAGTTCGCGGAGCATCTGTCCGCGGATCTTTGAACTTCGCTCGGTCACGACACGGCGCGGTCTTTCACAATTTCGACGATTCTCATTCACAGCACGTGTACGTAATTGCTCGACTCCGACGGGCGCTGCCAACTTGTTTGCGAACTTAAACAGGAAAATCTTATGTTTAGGGTAATGCATGTTGAACGGGTAAATGACACGGGAAAAATGTTTTAGTGCCGAGCACTGCACTGAAAAAAAATCTCGGTGTATTTACTGAGAAAAGGGTAAAATTAACAAGAATTCAGGGTTCTATTTGATCCCAGTTTTTTCTGGGTAAAATTGCCATTTATGGAATTGGTAATTTTACCGAGAAATTTCGGTGAAATTATTGAGCTTTCTCGGTAATTTTACTGGACCTTGGTAAAAACGCCAATATTTTTTTATCGACTGTGGTAGAATTACCGAGATAAAATGGCAAAGTTACCGGGAATCGATTACCAATAAAAGTGGTATTCTTACCTGAAAACACAGTAAAAATACCGGTTTTTAGGTATAAGCTTACCAGTCTGTCTTGGTAAAATTACCAATGATTGGTAAAAAAAGTGCGATGGTAAAGGTACCAACGGACCTTGGTAAAAACGCCGAGAATTTTTTTGCAGTGTATCTGTTCAGATCACGTGGAGCCAGTTAGTATGGCAGTAGCGCTGAGCCTTAAAAATTTAGGGTCCAGCCTTACAGACTGTGGGTCTCAGTTGAGTACCTACATAGGGTGCGAGTATGGACAACTCGAAATATATAGCTCTTAGGGCCCAAAAGGGTAGGTAACCTTTGAAAACGAAAAATGCCACTGTCAATCTTTAGACTCCAATATCAAACGAAAATCGACAAGAAAATTCATTAGTAAGCATTTTTCCGCAAAAATGAGTAAGTTTATGCAAAAACCAAATCAAATACGCGCTTTACCAACGACAGTTCCCAAAAATTGAGATTATAAATCACTCTGGATAATTTGAATTCATAGATTGCCTACCTTGGGGGTCCAAGAGCTCCGTCATCTAACCTAAAAATTTTCGACATGTCCATACTCTCCCTACATAGGTGCTTTAGGTCTTAGCAGTACTGCCATATCAACTGGCTCCATTTGATCTAAACAGTTAGTGCTCAGCACAATATCGTTTTTCCCGTAGAGGATATGAGAGAAAAGTGAAAAATAATAATTATTACGAGAGGCAAGAAAGTGCGCAATTAGTGTATTTTAAGAAAGTAATTAATGTTCCATCCTCAAAATTCTTCGTTGGAGCTACGTCCAAAAAAAAGTTTGGATGGCCGATAGCTCGAAGTGAGAGATCAACTCCAGTGCTCAGCTTCTCGTGATGTGAAGCTTTGATCTGATTTCGTTTTATAATTTTTAGTCGAGTCCGTAGACTGTGTCTTGTGTTTTTCACGGGCGGATGTCAGGAATAATGCCAAAATCAGGATCAACCCATGAGAAGTAGATACTTCCTCGCAGTTATGGTGGCTGCGTAGGAACTAAGGAAATATACTCCAACAAACACATTTACATTTGTTTTTCAGGAAATTGCAGATTCAATAAAACTGAAGTATTACAACGCATTTCATAATATTTTTGAAAAGTCTTCCGGTCGAGTCTTATACATCTTGATCTTAGAACGAGTTCAATGCCCACGAAAATTGCCAGGCTGAAATAGGAAAGAAACACTGTTTCGACAGCATGATTACCATACAAAGAGCGGACTTCAGTTGAGTTGCTCGTCTTCTATCCCATTAGCTGCGACGTTATAATTAGTTTTGAGGCATTAGGTCCATTTCCATGCCGGAAGATTATCCTATTCTCTGATCAAAAATCAGGCTTTGATGAAGTCTAGTTGCACCATGAAGGGGAAAATGCCCACAGTTTGATGCAGACCCGACGGCAATAAAAGAAATCACCGAAGGGATCGATGATACCGAATTAAAACAACAACAACAACAGTAGCAGAAATAACAGCTTGATCTCTAAATAATAAATAAATATATAAAGTTTTAAATTATTAATTATCGAAGACATTTCACCTCGAGTCGTTGGTCTCAATCAATTTACAGTGAGATAGAATTTCATGCACCGCGGTTTCCAAATAACTTTTTGTTACATTATCTTCTCCAAAATGAAAACTATAATCATCAAAATTATAGAATACCCCGGTGATTTGTTTCGCTATGCGCAAGTAATTTATCCTGAGAAAATCTTAGGAATTAAGGGGGAGGGGGCAATTGCTTTTTACAAATCAAAGCGAAGCTGAAAATTTGAAACGCCTCACCTAAAACTAGCGACAAAACTCAGCCGATACTTCATGTTCAATGTGGTTCCTTAGATAAAACTTCTCTAGAAACATTTATCAAAGAAATAATTATCTTCTCCTAAATTTTGAAGATCGAGGATGATTCTTACTGGAAAAATTCTGAATAATTTAAAAGGGACGTTCTTTTTTTTATGACCAGACAGTTTTGATTATGGCGCATTTGCAATTTTCATTTTATTTTGAAAGTACGATATATAATTTTGGGTTGTGAAATTGTTTCACTCAAAAAAAGTAGAATTAACTGTGCTGTCACTTGTTACCGAGAATTTTTATGAAAAATTCTGAAAAATATTTTTAAAGGGAGAAGTGTGGATGGGCTGATTCAATTTCTCTTTGCGATCATCACATTAAAACGCTGTTCGAAAAAAAATACAATGGCTACCATCATTAAAATGAATTTTAGCGAAAATTTGTCGCATCTCTTTTGGTGGTTTTTTGAACTAGCACTTATTTTACATTTTCAGCGATTAATCATTAGAAAATGAAAATAAAGATACAATGACCATGTCTGTGGACGGTGTTCATTTACAGTTAATCCTGTGACCAGAATGTGATCTTCAAAAATTTTCGAAGCTGAAAACTATAGAACAGATGTATTCAATGGCATCACACACTGCTAATTCAGCATACATATTTTAACCTGTAGATCTTAGATTTAAAAAATTCTTCACATCTCTGAGTATTTGAGCTATTGCAAAACTAAGGCAGTTTTGGATCACTCTTCATATGGATGTGGTAGAGATTTTGCCACGCATAAGAATGAAACAATTTCATTTCAATCGAAGACCTCAATCCTGCGCGCGAGGTTTTTCATTCAAATCACGTTTTATGGAACAAAACAAAACCATCTGCTCTCTTTCTTCCATGTATCATTGTTTCAAGATCCAACAGCACACTTTCTGGTCGTCTAGACGATGAAAGAAGAAATGCGTAACATGCAAATTTTTCAATGATTGACATACCCTCATTTTAACCTATGCTCTCTTGTGACCTCATGTGCTTATCCCATGCGCAGACTTTTGTGTCATTCAATTTGGTCTGTGTTTTTACTAGCTCTCCTCTCTCTCAAGATTATATTCCTTTGTTCTGAAAATTAGACCCTCCTTGATTTTTTTTTTTTTTTATCGTTGATCTGCTGAACTAAAATTCTGTATTGTTTTTTGATCCTCCAGGTTTTGTCCTCGCAGACGCTGGTTACGATGTGTGGTTGGGTAATGCCAGAGGGAATACATATTCCCGAAAACACCTAAAATTAGATCCAGCTCGGAGCCCTAGGAAATTTTGGAACTTCAGGTGACCCAATCTATTCTATAAGTATCCATAGTTTGGGTTCCATTCTTCAGACAGGATAATGTTTAGGGAGACGGGAAAAATTTAAATTCTTATCGGGCCAATAGTAAGCCAACATCTGACAAGGGCACTTTTCCACCTGACTGTAAACCTTCCCCCAGGTTTTAAAGTTCATAAATCATAGGGTGAGTATTTCAGGAAGCAAGGGTAAAGTAATATTATTAGGACCAATTCGCACAGGTTGTTTTACGCATTGCCCTAGAAATGGCAATTGACAGTAAGTACTACCGAAATTTATTGTGAAAAATAAAAAAAATTAATAATGGAGCAGATGACTATGGGTACAAAATTTAGTTTTCTAATGCATGTTTCTAACCAAAATTTTACAGAGAACAATGCAAATTACTAAAATCAACTCCTAACTTAGATATTTAATGTTTCTTGACGCGTAAATTTAATCCTCCCGCTCACGAGAAAACAAAAGCCTACGTCCAATCGCGCACCAAACTTTACCGTAACGATCTCTGTAGTATAAAAATATGACAAGCTCAATCTCGGCCGGTTAGGCTCAACTTTTGTACGTTTCTAACACTTTGAACCACACAAGGCGGGAAAGAACATGTTCCGATCAAAAAGCCTGCCAAAACTGTTCCAGTGCGCGTTATTGATTCATGTAGTATAATGGTTTTCTTGTGAGCAGGGAATTCAAAATTCTCGTAACCAGCTATGTTCACTAAACTCGTTGATACCTTATAGTAAGAAGTTGATTTCAGTAATTTTCGTTGCGAGAATCGTGTCATACGCGAACATTTGGTCAAGAAACACGTATCAGAATGCATAAATTTGTACTTCGTTTGTTGGTTCAATTATGGGTTGTGGAGGTCTAATTCATCGACATCATGATACTTGAAGACTTCAACGCGAGAGTAGAAAGATTAACCAGATTAAATTCCTACCTTGTCTAATACCCGCAACTAAAAATTGAGGTACACACTTTAAACTGTGTGCAAACTTCTCCGTTTTCTCTATTTTAAACTGTTTTATTTTGTCTCCAGAGGGATTTTATAAAATCAGTTGATGTTCGCAAGACCACCAAATAAACTTGCTTTCAGCGCCAAATTTTTCTTTTAGATAGACAAAGATGTATATTTGTGGCTGTTACTCGCGTATTATGTTTAATGGTCCATTTCTGGAACACGGAAAAAATTAAATTGCTGATTTAACCATTTTTCAGTAAAAAATAGTTACTGCAATGTTTCAATGTAGGTTGCACAATAAAGAAGTGCTAACGACATAATAAAATGCTAATTTAACCTATCCTGTGGTTAAATAGCTTTCCATTATTGTAAAATGTACATTTGAAACATTTCACATACCCTTTTAACAATTGTATTGTTAAATCGGCAATCATTTTTTTTTCCGTGAAGAGTTTTCAAGAGATAGGTGGAGACTAAGAGTTTACATACTCCATAATTTGTGTCCATTTTCTCTCGCAACTACAACGCCAACATTGTGAGACTATACACTTGCATTGGATAAATATGTCGGATCGTGGCCTCCAGGTTGGAGTTATTGTCTTTTTAATTCGTTTGTATTGAGCGCAAGTGCTGTATGCTGTACCCGGTCAACTTGGTAATGAGTGGTTGAATTTCCAACTTAACCTTTGAAAACCCCTTTAGGAGATGACGGCGGCAAATCTCTCAGTAAATGGACACACATCCCTACCCAGTTTCTTAATCTCAAGAATATACTTCGGGCTGTCATGCGGTCAAGATGACCATGCATAACTGCAGTCTCGTCAATATTTCAATGATAATTTCCTTCGTGCAAATGCACAGTGTTGCAAGTCGAAGGAATCTTCTTCAAGATTCTCTATGAGAAAATTTGACATGCTTAGCGAATATGAATCGACTCATCCATAGTAATTTCATGATCTTTCTAATGGTTATGGATTGCTTAAAAGAAAAACTACACATGAAATTACTCAGGCGAATTTCATCCGTTAAGTTTTCAAGCAAACGGCTATGGTCTCTCCTCTTGCCTCTGCAAGAAGTCTCAATATTGCGCAAGCACATTTTGAAATGCAACTGTCAAGCTTTACAGTTGCAGCCATGAAACTTGAATGCAATTAATTTAGAATATGGACAACATTCACTTTTATCACTCTATATTGAATCAGTTAAAAAATCCAAACGTTCAAGGCGGGTCAAAGACTGGGTCTTTTTCCCCCTGGTTTTACATTTTACAGGTTCTTGGAACCAATGTACCGTATATCCAGAAAAACTAGTAGCGAGCAATAGATGTCTGACACTTATTATTAAAAAGTAGCTAGTAAGTATAACCAGACGCATTATTGTCTCCACACAGATGCCTGGTAATGGTCCCTTTTCATAGTGTGATCCCTAATCTGATAATTTAATAACAATTAAACTTTTTTTTTCATTTCTACAAATCTTCTGTGCTACTGTGCTAAGAAAAAACCGTATGAACGTTAAGCGTTGCCAAATTTCCTGTAATCTAATTATTCATGCAACTTCGTCCGCACTTTAATCTAAAATTTCTGAAAATTTCAAGGAAAAGTATGCATAACTTTCCTCCAAAATAAACAATCCATCGGAGGAAATTTGACAACTCTCGAATGTTTATACTGCGTTTTTCCTCATTGCGGCACACAGAAAAAAAATGTTAGGGGTTATCCCCTAAAATTGTGGTGCTACCCCAATTTGTCGGATGATGTGGACTTTTCCTATTAATTGTGATAGTACTGCAACTCATGTATATGGGTCGTATCGGAACATTAATTTGGGTTAGTGCTGCAACATTTGGGTTGGTGCTGCAACAGTTGAGTTAGTAACCTAATTTATTGAGGTGCTACCACAGTTAATGAGAAACGTCCGTGTCATCCAACGATCCCGTGCTATTTTTTCTGCACAGCATTGTGCATAATAGTTATCGACAAAGCACCGCCGCTTTAAAATTCGACTTAAAAGGACATTTTTATTTATTTTGCTTCTTTGTGTCGGCAGTTTCCACGAGATGGGGATCCTAGACCTACCAGCGATGATCGACTATGTTCTGAACGTAACAGAGCAGAGCTCGTTGTCGTACGTGGGTCACTCGATGGGCACGACCATGTTCTACGTCTTGTGCTCGCAACGGCCCGAGTACAACTCCAAAGTGCGTGTCATGTTCAGTTTGGCGCCCGTTGCATACCTGACCTACGTTCGGAGTCCGGTCATTCGGTTCTTATCCACCATCTCGGATCCGCTCGCGGTAAGTGTAACCATCTCATGGCCTCCCAACTTTTTGAGCCTAATTCAATAAACACACATTCCTAGATAGGAATGTGCGTTTGGTCCACAAGATGTCCTCGCGCACGATGGTAAGAGTCGATACGCTTCTCGCCCACGATTGAATTCGAGGCGTCAAGGAGGCTTATCGATGCCTTGTTTTAAGCGTGTCAATGGTCAGCAGCGCAAGCAATGATCATCGATTGGCCACTTTTAAGCCTCCAGTTTCAAGGTGAGTGAAACGCAGGTTGGCCCTTGGTGACCTCTTTAGCCGAAACGCAACTTTTCGCGTCCACACCACCAGAGTCGTGGCGCGAGATTTGAATTTCAACAATTTTGCAGTCCTGCGGACTGATTGTTGAATTTTATAGACAAAGCTATGGACAAAGAAGACAAAAGGGATATGTAGGCATTCTATTGGTGGAAGCAGGTGGTTGCAATGGACGAAGGAAGTGAGGCAATTGACTAACTAACGGTAACCCGCGAGAGACCCATTAGTTAGTCCATCATTTTCTTTTTTATAAAGATTACAGTCTATAAGAATCACACATTTCAACCAATAGGATCGATCCATACTCCTTATGTTTTTCTTGTTTAAAGTTTTGTCTATCAATATCAACAATCAACCCGCTGGGTATATACATATAACCGTCTGCTGTTGATACGAATAAAATAATTCAGAGCAAGCAATTCGTTAAGAATGAAAATTAACTTGTTTTCTGTGAGGTGGCTGTTCGCTCATTTTTATGAACAGCAGAGGGTCATCTTTGTTCTTGACCATCAAGACTGCAAAATTGATGAAATTCAAATCTGACGCCACGGCTCTGGTGCGGTGGCAGGAACAAAGAACTGCATTTCGGCCAAAAGGATTGGCAAGAGCTACGTTTCACTTACCTTTCTCCAATTCGACGTCAAAAAAAAAGGTGTAACTATTCTCTTCAGCCGAAGCAGAAACAAAAAAGGTTGGACCATTCGCACAAACATCACTGAAAAACGCAGAAACTGGCTTCGGGGAACAATATGAAAATGCATCCTAAAGAATGGTGGCTGACATTTTGAGCAACTTTTGCTCAAAAGTATCAATTTACTGGGTTTTTTTCCATTTAAGATTCTGGACAGGTAGCCAAGGCATCTTCCAATTTGCATAAAAATGTACCAAAAAAAAACTATCACTGAAATGTTTTCAACGAAACGTATCTTACACCAAGTAATAGAACACTGGAAATTGGACTATATCCTTTGGAATACGGAATTTCGTGCGAACTATGAGTACAAGCGTTTGGGATTGGCACAAAATATTCTAATGAGACCTTTGTCATGACTGTAAGAGGCGGTGTATTTGTTGTTCTTAATGATTGTTATTAATAACACGAGCTCTGCTTTTTCATTAGTGGCTCTGTAATACTCTTGGATATTACGAATTTTTGCCAAATCAGCGATTTTTATCGTTAGTAAACCAAACGGTTTGTCAGCAAGGATCTCTCGGCCGAGGGATCTGTAACAACGCTCTCTTTTTGATAGCCGGGTATGACACGAACAAGCTTAATAAGGTAAGTTACATGAAATATGTTTTAATATTAGTTTTTTTAGGTAAAATATTTATTTATAATTAATTATTTTTATTATTTTGTTTAAATTGCCAAAATATTCAATAAAAACCATAGATTGGTTGTCTCCTAAAAAAATAATACATGAGAGAAGCTTTGCAACTTCACAATCGGCAATAAGCCTTCTTTTTACTTTAGCCATCGATAAACAATACCGTCTTGTATGCCGTGTAAAAGCGCCGCAAAGTGGATCGAGTCAATTAGAGAGGTTGGACATGAAATTTTTGACGAAGAATGCAAATTTTGGTGTTTATTTCGTCACATTTTAAATTTCAATGGGTGCCTCCAGAAGAAATAATTTCACGAGGAAACCAATGGAACCATTTTTAGAACCTCAAAGTTTTGTATAAATGGAGTTATGAGCGTTTAAGGAGTCCGCAATTTGTCCAACCTCTCTTATTGACTCAATCCACCGTGCGCCGTATGAGCATTCAGAAGTTTTCCGCTGATTAAACCCAAATTTTCACGATGGTTACTTTCCTCTCCTCTCCGAATTTTTCAAAATTTTACTCACAATTCAATCCACTGCATCGGCAAATTTAAGATAACAGCAACCGTAACTTTCCTCGAAAAGAAACATTTTGTCGTAAGGTATTTAGCAACCTCCGAATGCTCAGGCGACGTTGTTTCTAAGAACGACAGAATAGGAGGAGTACTCTCGAAGGTGAAACGAAATTATAAGATGCAGTGAGTAAGGATAAACCACTGTGAGTGTGTTTACGATAGTTTCGCCTTCAAATCTGGAAGATGCAACAACGCTCACGCAACGGCATTGACCCCTAACTTTGAAGCCAAGCCGGTATCACTTCTTTCTGCAGGAGTTTCTTCCGCTCCTATCATCCGTTTAGCACAATAAGCTCACCTGATGGATATATTCAAAATAAACCTGCGATATAACATCTATGGCATATTCGTACCTGAGATCATACCTCAGCAAATCTTACCCCGTGAAATACAATCAGAAAAATAGAAAACCGATTTACTTCATGACTGGATATTTATTCAACCGACATAAAATATGAAAAACAAATTTCAAAAGAGAATAAACGTGTAGTAATGCCAAATCTAGACCAAAACTGTTTACTTTTCAGTCCAAAGCATATTCTTTGCATTTATTATCATTTGTTAATTCATATTATAGTCTCATTCCGCACAAATATCAAGAGAGCCACGATCAGATAGATAATGACACCGGTCAGTCAATAACTTGAAACCTTGTAATTAAAGGTTTAAAACTCATGATGCATACCTTATGTCATTTTCCCTCTACTTTCGAGTATTTTCAAAGTGATTAGATTGCAATTCGTAGAACCTGATGTATTCACTAACATCAAACGCAGGCTGCGTATATACGCAGCTCTCGCAAAAAGATAATTGCCTTGTGAGAGGATCAACACACTCGCGTTAGTATTCTTGCATCTTAGCAGACTGAAGGGGCATTATTGGAGTGCTGAAGAATCTCAATCACAGCATTCACAGCATCAAAGAAAATGAGTACTTTAAGAGAACGAGCGTGTCACGCTAACATTAAGTAGTAGAAATCTCTCAATTTTATCAAGTTTCAATTTAAAACACCGCGCAGTCATATTGAATCTTTCGTTTTTCAAAAGTTTCCGACTTTGCTGAAATAATTAAATTTGCACGATACAATAATTAAAACATCGTGCTTCCAATTGAATTTCTTTTGATAAACTGAAAAATCAATTGTGTTCAAAGTTATAATTTAAGGTCCTTTTGTAAAAACATTTTATGTGACCTCATTACTGCTCATTTTTTTACGTATGATTCATAAAATATTTCAGACTTGGTTTAAATGTGTCGATTATATTTTATTTTAAAAAGACCATAATGAGGCTATCATAAATTTGCCCTCTTTATCCTTGATAATTTCATGACCTTTAATTGTTTTGACAAATTTAAATACTTCCGTGGCATTGGTGCTGAGCAACCCCAAGAAAATTCGGATTTTTTCAATTTTTTTGTCGTTGCTCAATTCACCCATGTCCTATTTTAGCGCAGAATCAATAGACATAAATGAAGATGAGAGGACATGAGTACAAATTGCTAAAATCTAAGAGAATCGCAAACATCTCTGACCATGTAACAACATTTTGTACCACGAGATCATTTGCATAACCAGCTAGGTAATTTTTCCCACATAAAAAACGGGGACTGTCAACCATTGAAGGTAGCTAAATCTACTCGAGATAAAGTATGGCATGATGATATCACAAAAAGTATTTTCTCAGGCTCTCATACTCAAACATAGCAATCTTGTGGGAGTGAGAATTAATTTCTCATAAGAAAGCAGTTGAAGCAAGTCCATGATAAAGACATTATTAATGCACCGAGTTTTTTGTCGTAAATGTCCACCAAACATTCATTATTCCCACTGATAATGAAACTATAGTGCAGAGTGCTTATGGATTGTTATCTGTCCAGTCCCAGCTAATTTTATTTACAATTTTTCATCCGTGACTTGCATTGTTAGATTATTCATCATGAAAAAATGGATGCAGACATGTAATAGTGGCTTCGAATGCTAGCGAGGGTCCGGCAAGTGCCTAAAAGTTAAAAAAAAAAAAAAAAAAAAAAAAAAAAAAAAACCTGATGGTTGGGGCCTGCGAAAGAAGAACAGAAGAGACTCCGCAGAAAATTTTGAAAGAGCCTTGTTAAAAATGGATCGAAATTCGCCCCTTTTTAGGCCCTCGATTTTGCAAACGGGAATTGCGCCAAACTGTTGCATATGATGCCCTAAGTCTCCGGTAAAAATTTCAGCTTGAGTTAAAAAGCGGTTTCGGAGATACAGGGGGGTGAAGTGGGGGAGTTGAGCGGCTGGCGTCCGCTATTTCCGCGGCTGTTCCTCGTCAAATCCTCGTTGTTATGTCACCCGTTACATGTTTTTCTATGTAATTTTTTGCGTACTATCCATTTCTGACCTTAAAAATTACTTACAACCACTTTTCAAGGCGCTA